ATGGCAATATGTAAATCAATGGATGTGTAACTGATGTGATTCTGCAATCTGTATACGGGGTAAAAATGGGAGTTCATAACCCACTTGAATCAAAGTGCAAAATATGGTATATCAAGAACTATGTAATGTTTTGAACAACCAACAATAAAAATAAAAAAATAAAAAAAATAAAACCAAGTAAAGGAGTCAATCTTTCTTCAGGATGTCTATTTAAGAAAGAAGGAAAGGGGGCTGGGGTTGTGGCTCGTGGTGGAGCATGTGCTAGGTCCTGGGTTTGATTCTCAGCACTGCATACAAGTAAATAAAAATAAAGTTCTATCAACAACTGAAAATAAAAAGAAAGAAAGGAGGACGGAAGGAACAAACTCTGGATTTAAAACCCACCTCTGACCTAAAATTACTGTGTCAGGGTTGTCTTCTGTGTTTTCATTTCTCAATCTTCAAAATGGGGGTGATTTCTGCATCTCTCTCTCTTGGGTTTCACAAGAACTGTACAAGGAACTAGCACATACAAATCTTTCATGTGCTTCATGAGGCAAAGCCCTTGCCTAAATTCAATGTACTCCTTTGTTAGGACTTCTGCTTTCCTGCCCCATGGATTTTTTTAAAATTTTATTTTTAATATTTACCTTTTCATTATAGGTGGACACAATATATTTTATTTATTTATTTTTAATGTGGTGCTGAGGATCGAACCCAGGGCCTCAACCATGCTAGGTGAACGCTCTACCACTGAGCCACAACTCCAGCTCCTGCCCCATGGATTTGACACAGGTCTTCCGGCCAAATCATCCTGTATCTTAGACTCTGATGGCAATGTTACCAGAATGTCTCCTAACATTTTGAACCATCCATGATTGCTTTGAGAAAAGGGTAACCCAGGGGCACTGTAACACTGAGCCTCATCCCCAGCCCTTTGGATTTTTTATTTTGAGGAGGATCTCACAAAGAGGCTGAGACTAGCCTCAAACTTGCAATTCTCCAGCCTCAGGCTTCCAAATCACCAGGATTACAGGTGTGTGCCATCGCACCTGGAACCCTCTGTGATTTGGGGGAAAAAAAAATCTATATTGCTCTTCAAAATCAATTAATATTAGCCATTCTTTTTTAAAAATATATTTATTAGTTGTTGATGGATCTTTATTTTATTTATTTATTTATTTATATGTGGTGCTGAGACTTGAACCCAGTGCCTTACACATGCTAGGCAAGCGCTCTACCATTAAGCCACAACCCCAGCCCCTAATATTAGCCATTCTTTACCTTTTGACTTTTTCCTATAGATACTTAGACATGCTCATACGCATATTAAGTCCAAATTATTTCCCACGACTCCAAATAAACCCCAATTCTCCGGCACTTGACAGATAAAAATCTCAAGCCCCGTGTTCACATTTATCCATATAAAGAATGAAACAGTTCAACATTTCACCAGCAAGTCAACCAGAGGATTGAGAAACAAACACAGAAGTCCCGATGTCCATGTTTCTCGTTTCTCTTGTGATATGAACAAGATGGAATTTATCTGAGAAGAAAATGCCAAGGTGACATTTGGAGTTGCCTCGTTTGTGGGGGCAGGAGGCCAGTTGATAGGGAATCGTGAATTCTCCTTTGGAGTGGCGGGTGGACAGGTTGCCAGATCCCCGGCCCCATATGCACACAACTCACCGACTCACCACGGGGCCGGACAGCCTTGCCCAGGACTGCTGCCGTCTTCAGCGGCTAAGGGGAGCTAGCTCCCCTCGGGCAGCCCCTTGGGGAGAGACAGAAAGCCCGCCCACTAGAGACACCCAGTTGGCCTAACTGTTGGCCTAAAGGTCAGATGACTTATGGGGAGTAGACCATGGGGACAGGGGTGGAAGTGTGGGGTTTAGCAAGGACACAGCAGCAGAATGACACAGGGCATCCCTGTAAACACAGACACTGGCTGTACCCCTTGTTCCTAAGCCCTAACGTGCTACCTCAATAGGGGGATCTGCTTGTTGCATGGGAGCAGAGCCGTTGTCCCCCACCCACTCCCCTTTCTTATTTTGGGGGACAATCATGTTGGACCCAGGCTGGGCCATGGAGTCACCTGGGGGCTCCTCACACTCCCCACTCCTGCATTTCAGAGCCAAGGGACTGCAACAAAGAGACCCCTGTGCCAGGACAGTCACCAGAGTCTGCTCCCACCCTCAACAGTTCCCTGATAGACTCAGCTGTGGACACTTCCTCTTCCCACCAGGTTTGGTCAGCTCTCTTTGCTGAACTTAAATAATCCCCTGGAGCCTGACCTGACCCACCAGAAGCCTGTCTTAGGACTGGAACCACTATGGACGTCAGTGTCTTCATTTGCCCACAAAGGAGAAATCCAGCTTTTCTCTAAAGTTCTTTCCGGCTCAGGAAATAATATTCTCTATCTTCTTAAAACTTTGTTCCCTGTGTCTTGAGCAGATATAACTTTCCATGGTTTGTCTATTAAACTCATGAACACAAGTTGCACCAGATAAGTACTCCAGTGCTAACCTTTGCTTCCTAAATATACCAAAAATTGCATAGCGGGAAGGGACCATCCTCCCACCATTGGTTTCAAGAATGACAGTCTCAGTTTCCCCATCTGCACTCTGTGGGGAAGCACTGGATGAATCCCCAGGTTTCTTTTCAAGTGAAGAGTACAGGATTCTGCAAGCAGAAATCTTACAGTGATCAGCAAAGACTGGGAGAGGAAGAAAGACGAGCCAGTGTGGATTGAAGACTCCACATCGGGTACATACTGGTAGACTACAAACAAACCAGTGTCTTACATTCACACTAGTGTGTAACTGACTGACACCAGGCTCCTCTCCTAGCCGCCTGTCATTCGGCTACTGATGCAAGGATGTAGATGGCGGCCACATGGATTCAGTTAGGCAGTGCTCTGCCATCAGCCCAGCCTGGGATGGCATCGATGGTAAGGAGTTACATCAGCCAAGGCAGAGATGGTCTGGTAACACGATGCTCCGAATATCCTGCCTGATTGTCAGGAAATGTAATTCCTCAAACCAGGGCCCTGGGCCACCAGCCTACTGCCCCTTGGTCAACAATTCTGGAAACAGAGCTTTCGGACCATGTTAAAATTTAACCAAGCTCTCCCTGGGCTGGCCTTTGGATTGATATGTTTTCAGTTCTTCGTGTTACCTGTCAGTAACTTGTCACCTTGCAGATGTCAGCCAGTGAAATGGTTGGGATGAATGGGATCCCGCCAGGTCTCTGTTCATTCTGTAGACGTCCTGTAGCTCGAGGGTGACAGTCCCATGTGTTAGGTCTTCATCACCCCTGCCTGCCTGTCTGACACTTCAGATTCACTTTTTTATCTTTGACTGTATTGACTCACTACCTACTTGAAAAAATTTGAAGGCTTCTATGTGTATATTATATGGTTTAAATAAAAAGAGCTTTTGTTTTGTTTTCTTTTACTTCAATACTGGGGTGGTACTGAGGGCATTTTACCACTGAGCTATATCCCAAGCCCCTCCTCCTCAATTTTTTTTTTTTTTTTTTGAGATGGGATCTTCCTAAGCTGCTGACCTTGAATTTGTGATCCTGCCTCATCCATTCATTTTAGTGTATAAATGACTGGGCCAGGGTCATTTCCTAGCCCAGACTGGAGGGAAAGCAGGGAGCTCTGGGCCCCAGACCTTTTTTTTAAAAATTTTTTAATATTTATTTTCTAGTTTTCGGCGGACACAACATCTTTGTTTGTATGTGGTGCTGAGGATCGAACCCAGTGCCCTGCGCATGCCAGGAGAGCGCGCTATCGCTTGAGCCACATCCCCAGCCCCTGGGCCCCAGGCTCTTGGCCTTGGCACTAGGGTTAGTGTACATTGTGTCCAAAACGGGCAGGAAGGAAAAAAAGGCAAAGGGGCCAGGCCAAGGACACTCAGAAAAAGGAGGCCACTGCCCGTCTTCCCTAGAGACGATCTTGCTTCTTCCTAATTTTGTTTTGAAACCGTGGACACCCCCTATGGATGACCTTCCAAGGGAAGATGGACTGTCCACGTTGGCTTGACTCACACCTGCACGGAATGGCAGCGGAAAGCCTCCCTCCCCGGCCACCTCCCTGTCTCCGGCATTCCAGGGGGGGGCAGGAACAAGCACCACGGAGACCATCACGCCCTCGCAGGAGCAGCACGGATGCCAGGTGGCCAGGTTGGTCGGCCATCTGGGTGAGGAAATGTGCCTTCTCCAGCCTGCTGGGGAAGCCTGTTTGGAAGGGAGCTGAGCTGCCGTCAGCCAGCTTCAGGAAGTGTCCTCACCTGGCTCCCAGGAAGATGGTCCTTAGATTCAGCTGTTCCCCTCACGGAGACCGATGCACCCACATCGAATGGCCTGTGTGCACGGAAACAAACCTCTCCAACAGGAAAACAATGGGAAAAGGCTGACTATAGTTTCGGGTTTCAAAAATCCCCACAAATATTTTTTAAAAAAATGGTTTTCAGCAATGCCTATCTCTAAAATGCAACTGTCACACCTTGAGACTCTTTGCACCACCGGATAAGAGATAACAAACTTTTTTTTAAGTATAGTGGATGGAACCCAGGGCACTCTTATCACCCAGCTACATCCAGAGCCCTGCCTCACATTTTTTTGAGCAGTTGCTCACTAAGTTGCTGAGACTGAACTTGAACTCGTGATCTTCCTGCCTCAGCCTCCTAAGACTGGGATTATAGGTATGAACCACCATGCCCGGCTGAGGTAACAAACATTTTTTTTTTTGGGGGGGGGGCGTTTTTTTTTTGGACTGGGGATTGACCCAGGGGCATTCAACCACTGAGCCACATCCCCAGCCACATCCCCAGCCCAGCCATTTTTTATATTTTATTTAGTGACAGTGTCTTGCTGAGGTGCTTAGGGTCTTGCTGAATTGCTGAGGCTGGCTTTGAACCCATAATCCTCCTGCCTCAGCCTCCCCTCCAGCTGCTGGAATTACAGGCGTGCACCACCACATCCAGCTAACAATTTGTGTGTGTGTGGGGGGGGGTGGGGGGTACTGGGGATTGAACCCAGGGCTTTGTGCTTGCAAAGCAAGCACTCTACCAACTGAGCTATATCCCCAGCCCTCTAACAAATGTTTTTAAATGGACTTAAATTGTACCAGATACAATATAATGTTGTCTGTTTAAAAATACTTAGCAACAGGCCTGAGGTCGTGGCTCAGTGGTAGAGTGCTCACCCAGCATGCATGAGGCACTGGGTTCAAGCCTCATCACCACATAAAAATAAAATAAAGATACTGTGTCCCCCTAAAAAACTAAAAAATAAATATTAAAAAAAATACTTAGCAGCAAGATTTAAAAGATGGGTAAAACCCAGAGTGGGTAAAGATGTAAAGAGGCACTCTTGTTCGGTACTGATGGGAGTATTTAGTGAGTCTCATCATTTTCAGAGACATATTTGGCCATATTTATTAAAACTTAAAATGCCCACTAGCTTTCATCCAGCCATATCCCTTACAGACCTACTCAGTGAACAGTCTGGGTCCCCCAAAATTCCTAAGTGAAGCCCTAGCCCCCCAGTGTGTTGGCATTTGGAGGTGGGACATTTGTCTAAGCCACCGGGTCTACAGAATTTTGGTATTATGTATGTATTTTTGTGTTGTTTATGGTGTTTTGTTTGTCTTAGTGGCTTGGGTGCAAGCTGACAAAGACACAGAAGGGCAAAAATACATATGTCCAAAGGATTATTTTAGCATTGTAATAGCAGAAAACCAGAAGGAGCTCCCTGTCTCTCAAAAAGGGATCAGTTAGCCAGGTGTGGTGGCACATGCCTGTCATCCCAGTGGCTCAGGAGGGTGAGGCAGGAGGATCGCAAGTTCAAAGCCAGCCTCAGCAAAAGAGAGGCACTAAGCAACTCAGTGAGACCTAGTCTCTAAATAAAATACAAAATCGGTCTGGGGATGTGGCTCAGTGGCCGAGTGCCCCTGAGTTCAATCCCTGGTACTCAAAAAAAAAAAAAAAAGGACCGTTTTTTCCATTATAAGTCCTTCTACATTGTCTGGGATTTTAATATTATTATTTTAACATTTCTTTATTTGGGGAGGATTGAACTCAGAGGTCCTTGACCACTGAGCTACATCCCCAGTCCTTTTAAATTTTGAGACAGGTCTTGCTAAGTTGCTGTGGATCTCACTAAGTTTTTGAGGCTGACCTCAAATTTGTGATCCTCCTGCTTCAGCCTCCTGGAGTCACAAGTTTACAAGCATGTACCACTGTAGCCAGCTTTTAATATTATTATTATTTTTAATATTGAACAATAAAGGAAAAAATGAACTTCTCCATCTTCCCACAGCTTATTTATCCAGAAACCCCATTCCTGGCCCAAGGGAATTCTTTGCCCTTATCGTCTCCTGGAGAAGGAATTGGGGTTTGGTTTTATATCTTCTAGAGAGTCCTGTTTGTGGCCTGTGAATGTAATTCCAGGAATTCCATTGATAAATGGCTCAAAATCCCAACTCTCCAAATACCCCACACTAAAGATATTTTGTGCTTGAGGCATCCTGTGTCATGGTCAGAATGCAGGACAGTGAGTGAGTCAGTGGTGTCAGCAGGGGCAAGGGTTCCAGGTTTCTCATCAGGGAGATCAAATCTTGAAGGGAGGCCTCCCGATGCTGCTGCAATACTGGAGGGCGAGGCAGGGCCTGAGGTCAGGAGGTTGGAGAAGCAAGAATTGAAGAAAGACCCACTAGTATCATCCGAAGTCAGTGCAGAGTCAATGGAGCAGAGAGAGAAAAGGGTTCTGATGCAGCCGGAAGCACAGCTGATGTCAGAGGCTGTCACCTGGAGAGCTGAAGGTTTGTCACTCGGGGACGAGTTGGGCTGGGGTCACAGGGCAGGGGCTACCACCATCTAAAGGGCAGGGCAGAGATGTTAAGCTACCTCCAAAGAGCAGGCTGATGTCTCACAAGTCCACTGTGGGGTGAGGCTGAGTGTGGGGCCGGAGGAAGGGCAGCTGTGTGAGAGGGACCCACAGCGAGTTCTACCTCTCCTGGGGCTTGGGGTGGGGGATGAGTGGGTGCAGGGAAGGACAGCAAGGAGCCCAGACCACCAGGATATCCAGAAGACAGCCCAGCCTCTGCAGCCTGTTCCCAAGTCAGCTGAGTCTTAAAACTTCAATTTTCAAATCCCAAGCTGCCCCATTCTGGATCTTCTGCTATAATCATCCCTTCAACAAATACTAAGAAATAATGAAACCCCCTTAAAGGATCCAAATCTCTATAGTGACATGCCTGATTAAATCCTAACCACTAAAGAGGCTTTGTGCCCTGCAGGTTCAAGGCTGTCATACTATGTCATGGGTCCAGTGCTTTCCATTCTCCTAATTTAAATGGGCATCCCAGCCTCTGGCAGGCCACTGGTACCTGGTATAAATGCCAGAAAATAGAGACCTCATTTACCTTATGCCCCACGGCGTCCCCAGCAATGAGAACAATGTCTGGAACATAGTAGGTGCTCTGTAGCTTTGGAATGAATAGACGAAAAATGGGATTGAGCCTTCCTTTATTATCTGCAAAAGCCGACTCACAACCACCACCTTCCAGGGTTTGGGGAAATGTGGGGATAAAGTAAGGGAAACGTCCTACAGGAGTTGCCTGGTTTCCAGCAGGTTCTCACAAAACGGGACCTAAATGTTATTGCCATTACTAACAACTCAAACTCACCCTGGGGTCATGCCTGTCCTCTAATCACGTAAAGTTGCATAATTCAAGTCTACAAATCGCCCTTTAGAAACTGCTAGTTAATAATCAACACTGCAATAGCCTCTTTTCTTCTTTTAAATAAATATATTTTTGTTGATTTATTTAATTTTTTTATGGTACTAAAGATGGAAACCAGGGCCTCACGCATTCTATGCAAGCATTCTACCCCTGAGCGACATGCCTGGCCCCAGTCTCTTCTTCAGACCCAATGGTTCTCCCATCTCTCCTTCAGAATGACTTATGCACATTATCCATTGGTCCCTTGTTTCCAGACACCATCACGCAGTTCCTGTAAAGGGGTGTGCAGCCATTCTGGTTCACTCCTGGATCAAACCATTGAGGTTTAGCTCAGCTTTAGCTGCCGGATAGCTCAGCCTGTTTTCTTAGGGAAATCCAATATGGCACCCAAGCTGCCAGCATGAAACCTGCAGTCAGATGCTCTGGCTGTATCATTCTTACTGTATGAGCTGGGGCAAGTTATTTCACCATTTGAAACCTCAGTGTTCTCATCCGGGAAATGGGGAACAAGAGCACCTCCCTGGGGAAGGGTGGAAAGAATCAGGAGACCATGCTGCTCTCGCTCTGTGGGCCAGGAGGGACCTAAATTGGCCCACAGACAGAAACCCTACCAGGAAGAATCTTCTCCGTGAGGACTCTCTTTCTCATGGTTTTCCATTTTGATGGAAATTCGGGAGTGGGTGTGGGTGGTTTGTAGAGGGTTGTGGAGCTAAGTCAGGAAATCGGTCCTGCCTGAACACGACTCCTGAAGTCAGAGAGGGAGACCTGGAGGAGGGGAGGCAGAATGGCCAACATCAGATGCTTCCACTACCCACCCTCTAGGGCTTTTTCCCTTTAAGAAAAAGCTGTCATTTCTTTGTGTCTGGTCTCATGAATAGCTTCCCCTTGCCTGAACGGGGGCTCTCTCTGGGCCTCACAGGCTCAGCCCCCCTTGCCTTAAACCTGTGTTAGAAACCCCTGTCAGGCTTTTGGAGACAGACACTGGAGCCGCTCTCCTGTGCACCTTGGACTACCTGTTGAAGGACTTCTTTTCCTGGGATTAGCACATTGTCCTCCCCCAAACTCAGCTTGCAGGTAAACCGTGGCCACCGTGGTGTCCTTTGACCGAGTGTTTGAGCATGCAGTCCTCAGGAAGATGACCCCATTCCTTCTGTGCTCAGTGGGGACATGAACATCAATAGGGAGCGTGGCTACAAGGCTTGTGGATACGCTAGGTTTCAAGTGCAATCCTGCTCAGCCTGAAAACAAGCCACGACCAAAAGTTATCCAGCTGCCCCCCGCCCCCCAGCTCTGCTGGCCACTGGTGTTGGGTGAGGAGTCCTTTCTGCTGGTTCCATGTGAGCCTCAGCAACCAAGACCCCCCACTGGTCCCAGTCAAGGACTGCAGCCACCAGTTTTGGCTGATCTAGCCCTGGAGAAGATAAAGTGCTTAACTAAAGATTAGCCACGCTGGGTCCAGCGCCTCTCACAGCCAAGAGTCAAAGTCGATATTTGCTGAGTAGAAAAGGACAAAAGAAAACAAATTCATCCGCATGCCATCCAAAGAGCCTAGAAAAAGTGACTCCCCACCGCTTACGCCCTCCTCTGCTCTAGTAAGAAGGCTCATAAGCTGATGCATCCCTACTTGGAGGGTAAACTCAATCCTCTGAATCACTAACCATTAGCTGGCTTCCTGAATAGGGTGTGCATCGGCACTGTACAGACTGCGTCCTTTAAAGAGAAACAGGACAATGTGAAATGATCTTGTAATGACTTAAAATGACAATATTATGACACTGTTGCTCCTTTAGAGCAATAGTCTTGAGAAATCTTAGAAAGGGCAATCCTAGGAGCTGGGATGGTGGCTCAGTGGTGGAGCACTTGCCTAGCATGTGTGAGGCCCTGGGCTTGAGTCTCAGCAGAGCATATAAATAATAAAATAAAGGTCCATCGACAACAACAACAAAACGGATTAAGAAAAGAAAGGGTTATACTAAAGTTCACACCATTTTTTTTTTTTTTTAGTCCTGGGGGTTGAAGCCAGGGTCTCACTCATGCTAAGCAAGCACTTCACAGTGAGCTTCATCCCAGCCCATGATGCTATCTCTTCACAGTGCCCCAGAGAGGTGGGTCATAACAAGGGTCCTTTGAATCAGAGTGAATTTTAAATATTTTTTTTAAAGAGAGAGAGAGAATTTTTGATATTTATTTTTTAATTTTAGGTGGACACAACATCTTTATTTTATTTTTATGTGGTGCTGAGGATCGAACCCAGTGCCCCGTGCATGCCAGGCGAGTGTGCTACCGCTTGAGCCACATCCCCAGCCCCAAGCCCATGAATTTTAAATCCACAACCAAACAC